AAAAAAAAAAAAGTGAAAACCATTTTTAGCTCACAGGCCATATAAAAACAGTGGGCCAGCTGTGGCCTGTGGGCCACTGTTTGCAAACCCCATCTGGAGAAACGTCATGGGTTGTCTGGCTGTGAAAACGCCCCACCCGACACAGAAGGCCGAGCCTCCTCGGTGAGCACACCGTGTCTTGTTCACGCGTGGTGCAGGCCTGAGCTCCACCAGGGGTGGGTCTGACACTCCACAGGAGGAAGGGAGAGATGGAAGGAGGAACAGGAGCAGGTGGGGGAGCAGAGGGGGAAGATGAGGGCCTGTGGGTCTAGATCCCAGGGCAGACACTGGCGGGAGTCGTCAGAGGGGGAGTGCGCAGGGCACAGGAAGTGGTGGTTCAGGGTGCCCTGACCGAGGTTACAAAGAGGGCCAGGGAGCCCAGGCCGCAGGAGTGAGGGCAGAGCTGCCATCCAAGGAACCCCAGTCCAGAGCCCGGGAGGAAGGAGGACGGGACAGAGCTCCCCGAGAATCAGGATTCCAGGAGCGTGGCCAGGAGGAACAGCGGAACACTCCAGGGAGGGGGCTGCCTGGGATTCACCGCCACAGGAATACTCGGAGGCCTGGAGACTGGACACAGCAGGTCCAGGGAGGGCGGGAGAGGCCTCACAGCGACCACCCTCCACTCTGACCACGTGTGGACCGAGCTCCCTCTACTAGGACACTTTCCTTATTCTGCGGCTACAGTTACTTCCCAGCAGCCCACACCCCTCGCTCTGTCAGGAGCTGTGCCAACCGTCCTCAGCGGGGACCGCCCAGTCAGACAGGTCACCCGTCCTCACATGTCTGAGGAGCTGCTCTCGAACCTCCACCTGCCAGCGCAGGGTGCCCAGCCCCCGGGCTCAGCGCCTGGGTGTCTGTCTCCTCCGAGTCCTGCGTCTGTGTGGAACGCTCCAGGGGGACAGACCCCCGCGGGTATGAGTCCCAGAACAGGGTCAATGGGACAGGGGCTGGGTTACCTCCAGTTCATGGCCGCCACTTCATTGATATATTCAGCACAGTAGACTAAAGTCACTGCAAGAGAAAGAAACCGCGCGTTAGAGCTTAGGGGACTGGTCACTGATCCTCAGAGAGTCCTACATTCTCCACAACAGAATGCTGAACACAAATGTGACAGAAGAGCGAGAGTCTAGTGGGAAACGTCACTTCCATTTTGGACATAACGTGAGGTGAGACTGTCACACTGTCCAACAACAGGACACGCCCACTTCACAGAGGGGAAAACCAAGCTCAGGCTACCTCCGAGTCCCGAGGGTCTCGGGACTCGGCTCCACCACGCAGAGCCGTCCAGCAGGCGTGCAGCGTGACTGGGTCCAGGTCCTCCGCCAGGAAACCAGGTGCCTGCCACGCTCTGCCATTTGCCGGATTTCCTACGCTACCCGTCACCATGCGGTCGCACGCGACATGGTGCAGCAGAAAGCCAGGAGCCCTGAGACCCGGGCCTTACTGCTGCCTGCTTTCCAGCCCCACAACTCCACACAACAGGGGCGGCCCTCGGGGGCTGACGCTCGCAGCGGCCAGCCCCAGGTGCCCACGGTGGCAGGGAACAGCTGCGGCTGACCTGGCCGGGCGACCTGCTCACAGCTCCACCTACACAGGGACCACGGGGACGGCGGGGGTGCTGCCGTCCACCCAGGAGACGAGACCTCAAGCTTGCCTCCCCGCCACGTGCTGCCAATACGCAGAGCTGCACAAAAATCAGAGCACGTGAAGACGGGAACCTGAAACCCCCGCTTCCCTGCTCAGCTAAGCTAAAATGTGCAAACCTCCCGCTCTGACCCACACCAGAAGGATCACACCAGGGGTCAGCAACCTCTTGACTCTCCCTCCATGAGTGGACCCGATGGGGCACACCAAGGCAGCAAAAGAAAAGGGACAGAGGACAGAGAGGCTGGAGCGGGGAAGGGCGCCACCTCCACCAGCTACTCCCCATCTGAGAACATGAGGGCTCAGGACCCAGGGACCTGGGAGTTAGCAAACCTCCGTTTCACTCGTAAAAATGCGGCAAATAACACCCAAATCTTAGGTTAGTTGAGGAATCAAATGAGTCATAAGATTTGTAAATGCACTTAGAAGAGCATCTATTATCCCCAAGCGTGAAAACAGTCACCCTCTCTTCATCCTAGAAAATAACCCTTAAGTTTACAAAAGTGTCTCAATTACATCAGCCCATCCAATCAGGCCACCGCCTTTCTTACAGGTACCCGCTGCAGGGCCTTTGCACATATTCCCATTGCAGGGGGTGTGCATTCCAGCGCTCACAGACTTGCTGCAGGGCTCAGTCCCATGTACCTTTATATCTGGGTTTCCATGTTACTGCAGAGACTTGCATCAGGCCCCTCCCTGAGCTCTGGCCCTTTCCTCCACAACAACCGTCACAGAGTGACAACTCAGTGAAGCTGGCCTGCTCGGCTCTAGCGGCTGAGGAGTGTCTGTTCTGTTCTCCACTGTCCCCCGACAGTCCTTAGCACACGGATCTCACGTAAGGAAACGCAGCAACTCCACTGACCCCTCATGTGCACAGGACTCTCGTGCAGTGCCAGAGCTCCCGCCCTGCACGAGGCCGGCCACCAGCCTTATTTAAGACGAGCTGCTGCGTTCTGTAAACCATTGAGCAAGACCTCCAGCGTCTCCCCACGTCCACAACATCACCAGGCTCACGCGGCCTCTGAGGCCCCGCCGCCCTCTCCATCGGGGCACCTCTCCTCGACTGGGCCTGAGAGGCTCAGCTCCTGCAGGGCTGGCGGCTTCGCTGACACCTGACCCACCTGTCCGTCCACGGGCACCCCCGTACTTCAGCCTCCTGCTCTCCTCCGGGTGCCTTCACCCCAGATCTCACGCCTGGGCCAGAGACCTGGTCCTCACCGTCTACTGAACCTTTTACTCACTCTTTACGCCTGGGACCACGACTATATTTTTTCCCTGTAATCTTTCTCAATCCTTCCACGCAACAACCCTTCTCCTTCTCTAAATCCCTGTAGCCCTTATCTTTAAAACTGATTTGGGCAAAGAGTTAAGTCGTTTAATGCCCAGAACTTCCCTCCTGTTTGCACTCTCCCCTCGAGAGGAGCAGCGAGGCCACGCCCACGGGGGAGACACTTCGTGAAGACATGAGCTTCACTAAACCAGACTCTTCTAGTGTAACTGGTGTGGAGACCCTGCCCCGCACACAGCAGGGGCTCAACAGACTCCTTTCAAATTCAGTGTCCAAAACCTACTTTATCTTTACAGTTCCCAAGAGTGAAATCCGGAAGCGCCCTGAAATCAAGGTCGAACACAGACAGAGGGGTTGGGACATCTTACAGAAATATCTGCAGCACGTGGTGAGGACGGAGAGCGCACACACTGCCCACCACACGGCGCCTGAGGACAGGGTTCCCTGACTCCACTCACCTAGGCACAGGAAGTGCCCGACCTGCAGTCGGTACCTCTGGGAGGACAGGCAGGTGAGCAGCAGGCAGAGCACGTGGAAGCCGGCCAGGCCCAGGAGCCAGGGCTCCGTCCAGTCCGTCTGCTGCAGGTCACAGAGAGAAACGCGTCATCCACGTGCCAGGGGGCAGGCCTCACGTCCCCTGGGCAGCGAGGTCGGTGCCCTCACTAGTGGGCGCTCCCGGGGCCGGTGGGCAGGCGTCCAGAGAGCCCCCAGGCCTCGCAGAAATCCGGGGGGCAGGGGGCTCCATGGGAGGAGGGAAACAGGAGCCCCTGCACGGCAACCGCGGCCAGGACTTGGAAGAGGGCGCCCTGGGAAGGCTCACGCACGGGGCTGACTGAGCCACGAGCAGGCTGCCTGGGAACAGAACCGCGCTCCTCGGCTGGCGCAGCCCGAGGATCACGGCCCGTGCGGCGGGGAGGAAGGTAAGGACCCGTGCAGGGGTGCACCTGGCCTCCCCTGAGCCACGTCGAGCTCCTTGCCTAGCACTTAAGGCCTCGGGAAATCTGAGCCAAGACATGCCTGCCTCCAACCTTTCTGCCACACCCCGCCCTCCAACAGCGCTGCGCTCTCAGGCCTCCCGACTCCACGGGGGGGCGGGCTCAGCTCCCCCCACATGCTGACCCCAGCCCTGCCCGGACCAGGCCAGACCTGCCTCAGCCGCAGGGCTAAGTCCGCCCCTCCCGCACGCACAGCGGACAAGCGACAGCCTGCGCACGGCGAGCTGGCCAAAGGCTGGCTGTGACCATCAGTGTGCGGGCCCGGGGCCAGGAAGAGGGGCGAGCGGGAATGCGCGCAGAGCGGCCGGTCCACACCGCCCGGACCACTCGGCCCAGGCCCGCCCCTCACACCCCGCCCCCACTCAAGCCCGGGCCCTATCACACCACCCCCACCAAGGCCCCGCCCACCAGTCGGCCACCGCCCACAGTACCAGGCCCCGCCCACCACTCAGCCCCGCGCGCACCACCAGGCCGCGCCCCCACTAAGCACCGCCCCCATGGCCCAGGCCCCGCCCCGCCCATGCAGTCGGCGTCCATGGCGGACGCCGGGAAGCCGAGCGCGGCCCCAACCGCGAGCGCCCAAGCTGGCAAGCAGGGAGTAGCGAGTTACCGCGATCACGGCGGGAATGCTAACGGGGAAAGAGCTGACTGAGAAGGCGGACGGCATCGTCCCCGGAAAGGGCCTCCCTCAGCACCGCCGCCGGCCGGCCCAACCCCGCCTGGTTACCACTCTGGCGTCTCCTCTCGCGACATCTCCACTTGTCGCGAGATCTGCACTGTCGGGGTGGGGAGTGGCAGTAGCCTGTCATCTCGCGATATCTCCGGTGACTGTTCCAGGTCCACATCTCGCGCTGCCCGTGGAATTAAATATAACAAGAACGCTACCGCCGAGCTGCGAGCTGGGTGGGAGTGTCCAGTTCTCCTGCGGCTGTAGCGGGGGCGGGAGGGGGCGGTGTCCGCGCGCCCGGGACCCCGGGGACCGGGTTGACCTCGGGGGACGGAGGAGACAGTGGGCTCGCCCGGGTGCCCGGGCCGGGGAGGGACCAGCCCTCGGCTCCAGCCACGTCGGGCCCGGGCGTCGCCGTCAGCGGAGCCAGCTGTGCCCGGGGCCGCCCGCCCTGGCCCTGGGCGGGCTCGTGGGCGTCCCGCCGCTCCGGGTGCGGCCCGCGGTCAGAGACCAGGTCCGAAGCACGGGTGGCCCTTCTGACCCAGGGGCCGCGGTCCCAGCGCCCGGACACAGCCCTGTCCCCTCGTGCTGGGTCGGCCCACCGCCTGGGGTCGCTCCGGACGCTCCCTCCGGCGTCCCCGTCCCTGTCCCTCTCCGCACCTCGTGACCGGCCCGCCCCCCGCAGTCCGCTCCCCACGTGCACCACGAGAGGTAGGGCCGCCGGGTGGCGCAGCGGTTAGGTTCCCGCGCTCCGGTTCGGCTGCCGGGGTTCGCCGGTTCGGATCCCGCTCCGCACCAATGCACTGCTTATCAGGCCATGCTGAGGCGAGGTCCTGCATAGAGGAACTAGAAGGACCTACAACTATTTACTGGGGTTTTGGGCAGAAAAAAAGAAAAAGAGGAAGACTGCCAACAGATGTTAGCTCAGAGCTAATCTTCCTCAAAAGAAAAATTAAAATAAAAAAGAAAATGCGAGTTACTCTACCGCTGCCCAGGGTCTCTTGTCCCTAAGATGAAACCCAGACCCTGCCTGGGCTGCAGGTCCGATGTATCTGGCTCCTGCTGGAAGCTCCAGCCACGTGGCCATTCCCTCCTGCCCCAAAAGCCTTCCCCTTTTCTGCTCCATGTCCCACTCTGCTGCCCCCAGGCTGGTCTGTGCTTCTGTGTGCTGTGCCATCTCTTCTCTCCTCTCCTCGCCACCACCTGGTCTCATCCTCCTGATATGCGTGGGGTCGCATCTGCTGGCCTGGGGTGGGTTTGGGTCATGCTCCAGGTTCCTGCCGGCCTGGGGTACCTGCTGGTTATGCTCCAGGTTCCT